TTGGTTATATTTTAAAATTAAATAGGAGATGGATATTGATCAAATTTTAAGGAAATAAAGTTCTTATTTTCCACCAAAAATCGTAATGGCAGATTTGTGGGATGGATGGCTCTGAATAAATCTGTCTCACTCCAAAAATTTCTTAATTATCCTAAAAAGTTAATATGGAAATTAGATAAGGCATATCTTAATTAGAATCCTATTCAAATTGGGGCATGAGATTTGAACCTCTCTCTCTGATTACAACAAGATTTCTCTCTTGTGCCCTAAGATCTCTTTTCTCTCTTTCATGCCACAATTCTCTCCTCTATTTTTTCACGCACTTAAAAAAAAGAGACTCCTTTTTTTTTCTCTCATTCCACCCTTTCTCTCTCCCATATTGTTTTCTCCAATACAAGCCTCTCTCTCTCTCCATAGATGTGATGCCACCCTCTGTCCTTCTCTTACTTGTGTAGCCTTTGAAAATAAGAAAATAAAAGAAAGGTGGCACCACATGAAACCCTAAAGTTAGAGGTTGTTGTATTTGAAGAAATAATGGAGAAGACCAACCTAGAGAAAGATCAACTCACAAATTCAACCTAATTGTTCTTATGGGGTTTCTACAAACACTTGTAGCATTGTTTAGCTCTCTAAAATCCTAGAAAAGGGTATTGCCTAAAAAAAACTTACCAATCTCAGAATTTTCAGCAACACCCAAAAAGACTAAAAGTGAGCTATCGGTCAGGGAATTGGGTGTGGGGTGTATGTAGACCTGTGAGGGTAACTCGAAGCATCTTCTAGTAAGTCTTCTCAAATGATTGAATTATTTTACAGCAATATGTCTTTTTTTTTTCTAAGAATTTTCAGGAACATATATTTTACTAAAAATTATTTTGGAAGCTTGTTTAAAGCTCTTGGATAGTTTCTATTTGTTTTGGTAGTGAAAGTAAACATCCTAGGTTGTATATAGGGTATTAATTTTGATTTACAACTGTATACCCATGCGAGTGGAATTCAGGTATATTGCATAAAAGAACAAGAAAACTTTCGCGTAAAAGAGAAAGAAAATTTTTAAATTTAATAGATTGAATTCCACATAGCCACTTCTTTCACATTGAGGCCCCAAGAATGCTGGTGGAACATTTTTAGCCCTATTAGAAGTGCACATGAGTCAGCCATCGTGGCTGTAGCATTGTCAATAAGGCTGTGAAAGAGCAGCAGTAATGAGTTTCCACAATCCCCAGAAACTTTGCAAACTCTGCCTTCCATGGATTCCCATAGGAGTGCATCCATCAAAATAGAACTTGGTTGTGCCTTGATGAGGGAGAATCTAGCTAACAGATATCGGTGGTTGTATGGGGCCGGATCTTGAGGTACCCCCCAGTTCAACGAGAAACCCAAGGTGGAGAGTGACGTGAACTCCTTTTGTGTGGATACCCATTCAATGTGGATAGAAATTTGTCGATCACTAATTGAGAATATAATTCTTACCCTTCAAAATTCAAACCAGGGTCACAGTTGAGGCTTTCCAAAGGCGGGGACCCCATGATGGTAGGGGGTATGGAAGTATATTTTAAATAATTCCTGGACGGATTCAGGGTGTACCCTCTGAGGGTTGAAAACTGTTAGGAACGAAGTTCCATACTTGGGAAAACTGTGAGGGCACTATTGTGTAGCACTAACAATTAGAAAGCTTGATTTCCAGAATCATATACAGTCACCTATTTACGGCAAGGACCTAATGCCAGTGGGTAATGGTTGGATCGCCGAGGGAATGCATTTCCCCAGAGCTCTTGCACTGGCTCCCCCTTTGGGCAACCACCCTGAGTCAACCATCCCATAAATTTGTTGAATGACACCCTTCAAAAGATGATAATCTTGTGGCCAACCTCCACCACTACTTACCCAGCAAACTGCATTCATGTCTTTAAGTAGTCTAATCCATAGTTACCAGGAACGGAAGCATCAGACCTACGACTGCCCAAAGCTCCGAAGCTCGAGGAGCGAGTTCCGGCGAGGGTAGAAGTAGCAGATCGAGATCTTGTATGAACAGGGAGCATGTTCCCAATACATTGGGATCTAGATTCTTATTTAATGAGTACGTGTTCCATGTCAAATGGGATCGTTTTCCCATATTCATTAGGATCGCACTCCCATCAAAAACAGGATCACGCCCCCATCTAAGAATGACCGTGTTCTTATTTGGAAAGGATAGAGCTCCATTCAAGGAAGGATCGTGTTCCGTGCATTATTAGTCCGCATCACAAAATTCCACTTGCATGAAAATTTGGCTTAAAATATAATTATTTTATTGTAAAAATTAATTTTATTTAAAAAGTTTCTTTTAGGAAGTTTCGCGAATGTAGGGATTGCGCTCCTAAATTTCTAGAAGCAGGGATCTAACATATTCAAGAACGAGAAGTACAATTTTAAGTAACGCGTTCCGTGCAACAGTGGGATCGAAATCCTTTGTGCATGGGATCGAGAATCCTATAAATAGGAGCCAGCTCCCGAAAAATTTAACATGAGTTCCAATCGAGATCTCGGTTATGGAATGCCAGAGCTGGGTTTCGGGGCGGGAGCGCCACCCTAGTTGGTCGCTCCCGGTAACTATGGTCTTATCCCAAGCACACCTTCTGTCTTTGGTTGATAGATTGTATCCCATTTGACAAGAAGAAAATTTTACCCCCCTCCAACCCTGGAACATAAAGCCCCATGTAATGCATTCTAGGCTATTGGCACAGAGATAGGCCTCATCAGTAAGGATATTTGAAACACCTGGACATTAGAAAGGGTTGCTTTCTTGGGACAATCCTTCCCCAAGGGAGACGAACCTCCCCTTCCAAGATGTCAACCTCCAGTGGAGGTCCTTCCCCCAAAGGATGGCTAGTGATTCTTGATAAGATATTAATGATTGACCATCTTATTCATCAACCAAAGAATATTAACAGATGCATATACTGTAAGCTTGAGGCCAAAACTGTTAAGCATCTTCTTTTTGTGCTGTACAGAAGCCATTGGTGGCATTTCATATACTTATTTGATATATCTTGGGTGTATCTAATGCAGTGGAAAGCCTCTTCATCTACTGGTCTATTTTTTCTCTACCCCACTCAGATAATCTGTTGTCGGGCTCATCCATTTGAGCAATTCTCTGGGAATTATGGCTAGAGCTTAACTGATGAACCTTTGAGATCCAGTTCGGAGTCTTTGATAGAAAAAATAAATATTATAAGAAGAAGCAGACTTAGGAAAGAACTTCATAACCCTTCAGTCGTTGATTTCCTGATAAAGTGGTTATAAAGTGCTTGAAGCAAAGCACACATACCTTGGTGCCACCCATCATCAGTTTGGAACCCTCCACAATAAGGCTTTGCTAAACCCAAATTTTGAAGGCAGTTCACTTGGAAATCCAGACCCATCAGGGTTTGGAGGGGTGTACAAAGAATTTAATGGTACGATCCTCCTTTCATACTTAGGACCTTCTGGTATCTGCCATACGACAACTGCGAAAGCCCTTGCTCTATGTAATGGGTGGAGAATACGATAAAGAATTGGGACCAGTGTTGATAGAAGGGAATTCTGTGAACAGAATTCAGTCGGCATCCAAGTCCGCAATTTGCCCTTGGCATCTCAACAATTTTTGGGAAGGGTCTGGGGTCGTGGTGGTGGCACTCCGCATCCTAGTCACCACCTTGTGGTTTCCATTCCCACCACTAACATCACCCCACTAACACCTTCAAAAAGCTAACTCCTAATCTACTTCAAAAAATGGCTAGGGGCCCGTCTTCCCCACTGAATTACCCAAAGAAAAAAAAATTTCTCAACAATTTGCTGAGAGTTTTGAGAGATTACAGGGAATTTCCAGCACATTCCTTCATGTGTGCTGGTATCCAATCAGCTAGCTGATTCTCTCACACAGAAAGGAACATCTAGAAATTCATTTTTTCTTTCTTCTATCAAATTGTTGATGTACACATGTTCAAACCCAGTGAACACTTGAGATTTGTCACATGAACAAAAAAAAAAGAAAACAAAGCGAGAGAGAGAGAGAGAGAGAGAGAGAGAGAGAGAGT